ATATATTAAATATTAATCCATATAATATTAAAAATACAATCATACATAAGAAAACTTTAAATAAAAATAATGAAAAGTACACTATTTCTTCGATCCAATATCTTAAATGGATAGGCTAAGACTTAGATGCGTTGAACAATATTTAACCCTGGAACATTTCCTAAATATATTTCATGATTGACGGATCAGAGCAAGATATATTGAATTATTCGGAGAGTTTGTAGAATTTTTTTATGACAGAATTGAAAACTAATTTTTATATGTTTATATATCTTTATTTAGTAATGCATGCACAAGTTGTTAAAGATGGCCAAAAGTTGTCGAAAACAACATATTACTGAACAAAGATGACTCTAAACATAAAAATTGTTTTCAATTTTTATTATAAAAATGATTACAAATTTCTAAATAACTCAATATATTTTTATCCTCAATAATGTACTTATGTTTGTTTATATATTTTGTTTATATATTTATTTATATATTTTTTATATGAAAAAAATAGAAGATAAAAATATTTAAAAAATAAGATTATACATAAAATAAAAGAAAAACTTGTTAATACATGGAAAAAAAGTATTTGCTGCCGCAGTAAATTTTATATAAGCTATCGTAGCAAAATTTCTGACAATTAATTATTATTTGAACAGGAAAGAGATTTGTTATAGATATTAATTTTATTTACCAAAATTAGTTTTGTTAAATCTGCAAATTATATTGTTAATATATAATAAAAAAATTTCTTTTTATCTTACTATCAAAATTTGTATTAGTGGCGACAATTTCATTGCAATACTAAAATTAATTTATTAAAAATAAATTATTTTGTTGTAACAGCAAATTTTAATTTGTTTTTTCATCTCGAAATTTGTCGATATTTTGAACAAAACAGATTTATTGCATATCGAATAATCTGTAAAAGTAGTTACAATAGCGAAATTTTATCGCTAACATATTTAACATGCAATATCAACGATTATTTTATTGCGATAGCAAAATTCTTTTTTTCTGTGTAAATGTGTATACTTTTTTTTCTTCCTTCCCTACGGTAAGTGGTTTATCTTTTTATATCTTTCCAGGGTTAAATATTATATAAATTGGCGTTGAGAAGCAAATGTAAGAAAATTTTTAAATACATATGTACGTATCACAAATATAAACTAAAAATGAAAAAGAAAATTCTATTACACAAACGTAAATATATTAATAAATTGTGGTATATTTGAAACAATTTATCTAATAAAAAACGGAGCACATTTTTTATTAACAATTTTGAAATATATTTATTCTTGTCTTTTTGCTATACGCCAATTTCTTCGTAATCTTTCCTAGCCTACTCATGCATCCGTGGTCCTATGGCTTAACAGAACTAGAACTACCAAAGCGGTTAAAATGACCGGTTTATTTTTTAAAAGCAAGTACTTAAATTTATAATGCTGTATTTCCTGACATTTTTTCTGTTACTTGTTGCATTGTGTTAAATGATTAAATTGATTAATGTACTTTTTCTCTTCATCACTTTTTATAAAAGGAAAAAAAAAAAAAATAAGAAATTGGTATATGTTAATCGTCGGTAGTTCTAGTGTTGTTGATCCCATGGTTGAGCATGGACTTTCGAAATTCGTGGTCCCATCGATGATGGTCGAGCACGGATCTCGAAACAACGTTGATACGATCGACTATTGAACAATAGTCGACTATCAACATAAATTTCGAACGCAACTAGCGGAAACTGAGCTCTGCGCTAGCGTCCTGCGAAAAACTCCCTCTCGATTTTCAGATGCAAATAGCGGTAACTGAGCTGAGCTCTGCGCTAAGCATCTTGCGAAAAATTCCCAAACGATTCCGCGCAAAATTCAATCTTATTAAACTTTTTTGGTTTACGATTTCTTACGAACTCCTAAATATAGAATTTCTTATTAGGTAGGTTTTTGTATTAGGTAGAATTTCTATTAGGTAAGATTTTCTTTTCATTAGAGTTTTTGGATAAGTTAAAAAATTCTTATTACTTCTTTTTTTTTTAATTCTTTGCTATCGATAAACTTTGGAACTTCTGCTTTGGCAGTTGGTTTGCAGTTCGTTGATGACAAAGATAATGACAAAACTTTGGGTGGGTAAAGATTCACAGCAAGATTCTCTTTTGTGAGAATGGAAGAAGTTTCTTGTATATAAGAAACATCATTTTAAAACATTTTTTCAAATTTCAATTGTTAAATTGTTAAAAGAAAATGTAATAAGATAAATGTCTCAATGGCTAGACATATTTCAATCTCCAACTATAAAAAAAAAACAATTTTTTAAAATAGTTATAAATATAATGGCCAGAACTGGTAAATATAAATATCTTATATTTCTTTGCAAATATTTCATTTTAATAATTGTCGTTTATTAATTACAATTTTAGTTTTATTTTTGTTAGATAAACTTCAATCTTTATTATGTGTTGAGAAAAATAAGAAAAATATTTAAATATTTAAATTATCCGACCTCTGGGACATTTACCTTACACACACTAAATTACATACGCAAAATATTGTATAATATACATTCTATTGTGTATGACGCTTATTTTAGAGTCTTGCAATTTATTATAAGACAAACTTTGCAAAAAAATTTGTCTTAATACACAATGCATAAATCTAAACAAATCTAGTTAATATATTTCTGACATTAAAAGTTTGGATTAAACAATAAATATTTAATTTATGTAAGATTAACGTTTATTCATAAATGTACAGAGACTGCCAGCCAAATATCTATCAATAAATACATGTATACAATTAATTATTTTTTTCCGCGGATACTGTGATTACAAATTGAATGAAATACAAATTATTAGCGGAATTTCCTCGATATGAGTGCAAAAAGCGTAACGACGAGACACGTTCAATATTCTTTTCCAATCAATAATCTAACATATTTTGCAAACTATAAACTTTTGTATAGTGATAATTGCTATAAGTAGATAAGTTGATTTTTATACAATGAAATACTTTAAATCGAAGTCACAGCACCAAATAATGCAATGAATGAGTCGCTGTACAAGATTTTATGTGAATTGTTGAGAGACTTTTATCAGCGCGTTTCTAAAATTCCACGTTACTGATTACTAGAATCGTATATAAAATTATCGAATTATTGATTCTTCATGCGCATATTTTCCCACAAATCGTTTTTTTTTTGTATTATTTTTACAAAATGCCGTAAACAATTCTCCGATGATCACATAAACTAAAAGTGCTCGTGGAACAAGAAATTTGCCTTGTATAGAAAGATACAAAACGTTGGCACAATCGTGAAATACAAAAATCATACAAAAATTCGGTAAATAAAAAAATACAATAATTTTAGAACGGTAAACTACAAAATTACAATTCTAGCAATCTCGATTAATTATATTGAACGATATTCAGTCGAACATATTATAAAAGCTATGTATATACTTCGACATAAAATGTAATTATAAAGAATTATATTTAGCGTTCGTATGAATTATAACTCCATTATAATTACGAGGGATTTTGCAAATTTTTTTTCTAACATCTAACGCGATTAAAAATTCTTTGTGATCATCCGAGAACCAAGGACAACACGATCGTCATGGAAATCACGTGTCTCTATTTGGCACGTGTCTCGTCGGTCCCGCGACGGGAAGTATAGAAGGGAGAGTGGGTGCTGATATGACGCTGATGGACGATCGTGATCACCATATAGGTGTCGGCTGACCGCGATCGCTTCAGAGGCGGATGCCGCGGTTGGTGCTAGCCACGTAGTTGAGCAGCTCCTCGGAGTCCTCGCAGACGAACGGCTTCTCGTGGTAGCACGCAACGTCGTGCCAGGCGATACCATCGTTGTAAACGTTGTTCAATACGGACAAGCAGGACTCGTTGGTGCCGTTGATGTCATATTCGGCATTGTCCGGCTGCTTGACCTTCTTGTGGCCAGTCTGCGACCACGGATTGAAGCCCCAACCGTTTGGCACCTGGTTAGTAGGCGCCATCTTCTCGCGATTCGCCGACCAGAACCAACCGTGCAGGGCCTTAGGCTCGAGGTCACGCCGGTTCTCGCAACCCTTGAAGTCGCAGAGACGTCCGGACGTCCAGATGTACGGAATGTCGTCTGAGAGAGAAGATAGATTTTGCGTGAATAGAATCTCGCTTGCTTACCAAGCAAATGTTCCCAATGTCTGGTGCAATGAATTTTATTTGCTTTTCCAAGATGTAATTCTTATCCTTATATGAAGGTTAGTAAGCGATGTTGATGCGATCGTTCTTAAATCTAGAAAGTTATGACTGTCGATATCGTTGTTAAGCGTAAGATTAGAATTCAGATGAAATTTCGTGGAAGGATCACGACGAATATCAGGCTCCAAGAAAGGAGAAAAGCATTTTTAGATCCAAGACACTGATTCATTACAATTTCTAATTGAATCCTACATCGTGATTCTAGCCGTGCAAATAATGATTGCGGGTACAAAAGGTCTTCGAGGCGTGCGGTAAAACGAAAAGGCGGGTCGTGCAGCATTCATTCTTGAGCGAAATCGACTCAGTGCTATCTTACTTTCGCCGGGCTGCAAAAAGATTCATGCACCGTGCAATGCTGTTATATAAAAAGATGAGACTCTCTAGCCTCAACCCACTTCAAGACCCCCGCATTGCCTTGAAAATTGTCGTTATACTCGCCAACTCGCCTCCGTACCCATGACATCTCGTCGAGATGAGTATCGCTCGTGATGAGCGGTTATCATCACGATTGTGTGATAATTGTGGTAGTTAGACTGACAGCACGAAATCTGACAGATTTAGTTTCCTCACGTTGTGACAGATATTCTGGCAATTTGTATTAATTCGTAGTTGCTAAATAATCCATTTTTCGTCCATGACAATTGACCTCGTGATTTCATTTTTTCGACTAGCCAGAATATTAGCCAATCCATTCTTGAATTATTTATTTCAATTTCAAATTTTAAAATGGTAGAATTATCAAGTTATTTGTTGTTGAATGAACTTTTTTAACAAATATACTTTATTAATAATATGTTAAATCGATAATCTTATTATCACTTATACAATCGTAAAAGTTTGTAATCCCTTATAATACTAAAAAAAGATGGAAAAGGTAGTGTATTGAAAGTAAAGCGTAATAAAAGTAAAGTTAGTTAAGTTATAAGGATCTTGTATTTGAACTACAAGATTATGTGCTTATAGTGTGTTCATAGTGCATCGCACTGCAGCCGAAAGATCGTAATGAATAAAGAGAAAGGATAAGGGGGAAGAAAGAGATTTGCGGGGAGGGCATCGTCGTTAATCATCCGAATCAAAGACTAAGTGATGTTCCACATCGTTTCGAAATATTGCCGAATGATTATCTTTCGCGCGAATGAAAGTTGCCGCGGTAAATAGCCGATGTCGGTATTTACGACCCGCTACCGTCGTCGTCATTATGGTTGTACGCCGTGTGAAAACTTTCTAAGACCCGTCGTGTCACAGCGAAGGAATTAGAATAAATTCGCTTTTATATTTCCCAATCGCAATATAAACTCGAGAATTCGTACTTCTTGATTTATCAAGCGTATCGATGCATTGACAAGCAATAGCATAAAATTAGTATAACTATATTAAATATACGATTTCTCATATCTGCTTTTGATTAAAGCGTGTAATTGAGAAAAGGTGCGCTATCGAAAATTCGTAGATGAAAATTATATTAATCTCAGTTTCAAGATAAAAATGCATATATATTATAAATTAAATAAACGTATCATATTCAAGCATAAAACTTATGCGAAGATTCAATAGATTTAATAAAACAAAGTGTGCATACCCGAGAAATTTTTTATCGCAAATGAAAATGCGCTTTCAAGATTAGTTTTACAGAAATTATTGCAGCATTACGCGCGCGCTTCTTTATTCATAAACTAAAACGGGATCGTCCCGCTTCATCTTTCAATCATGCATTGATCTTATATTTGCAAATGCAACAATGAAAATGATTCATAATAAAGCAACGCACCATTATGTTGTGAGAGTCCAAAATAAGTTCGTGTCGCGAAATAAATTACTCACTCTGTTGGATGAGCCTGAAGATCATATTGTTTTCTTCTTGGGTTTCTATCGAGATAAGGTCCATACAGTATTCTCTACAAATGTTCCTAGCGTCTAACCAGTCAACTTTTTGATTGGCATGGACTGTGACATGTCCGCTGAAGAAATAGTTGTGCCCTCGGAAGTTAAACTGCTTCGGCCCTGTAAAGTATTTTAAAGTTATTTTACTGTATTTTTATATATAAAAAATATAGAAAATATCTCTGAAATATTTTCATACGGAAAGCAAGAGATTCGAGGATTAGATAAGAAAGTGATTGAAGTACACCTGTCGTTGCACCTGTGTCTATAAATGCGAAGAACATTAGCTTCTCTATCATATCGTCGCATTATTCATGTCATTTGGGATTTCGCAGAAAGAATGGTAAATCGATGATTATATCAAGCCTCGCAATGCGCCTTTCTTTTCTGTTAACAGGTTCTCGATTCGACCCGTGGTTAATAGTTCAGGGGTCAAACAGCTGTTGCGATTAAGTAATCTTTGAATCTAAGCACGCATACAAGAGTGCTGTCTGATTAAATCGGTTGTTTCCACTTGTGTCGTAAAAAATCAATCTTAGTCACTCGAAAGGTCGAAAGATTCGTGTAGAAAAATGATCTTTTCAGTTCTTCGTCAATTATTGACATCATGTCATATTTAAATAGCTTTGCCAACCATGTAGTGATGTATTAAACAATTTTCTTCCCATACTTATTAATAATATCATTTATCATCATTAATAATATCATTTTTTAAATTTATTATTAACACGCATAGTGAAAATTTTATTTCATTTAATTCATGAAAAGTATAGAACTAGTTTGTTTCAACTGTTTTCAATGAGATCATAGATATATAGAGGTGCATAAAATATGAGAAAAAGAAGCTCTCTTCACCAACAAAAAATCATTTTTATTGGTTGGAAGAAAGAATCTCTTGTAAATGTTGGTTTTAAAATATGTGAGAAATATAACTTCTGAAGAATACATTTCTATAAATTTAGAAGCTGGCGGATCGTGTTATATCTTTTTCTCGAGTTACGCACTAACTCAATTAAAAGATGTTTCATAATTTTATGCGTCATGTACATTTCTATCACTGCCGCGTATCGATGCTATTCTCCCACGTTTCGTAATTTTCAGGATTTTCCGCGTCTCTCATTGAATGTTATCGCGCGCGGACATACGCCATTCTGTGTCTCGATCGCTAAAGTTAGAGTACTACGTACGCTCGTACTTCGCGGGCGGGGAATCTGTAATCGGCGGCGGCGCGTCATTATCGTCCGTTTTAAATGTCAACGGTCTTATACTTTTTCCCGGTATTTATGCAGGTATGCCTCTCCCCGTCGACGATTTACGACGTGTGTCTCATTATGAGCGCCTAACGCCGCATTACGAAACGTATACGTGCACACGTATCATCGGGCCGCGCTACAAGGAGCATCTTTCTCTCTTTATCTCTCTTCTCGCTGTGACATAACGTTTTATATTTCGCCGCCGTGCACGATCCCCTCGCTGCGCTTCTTTGCCTTTTTCTTCTTCGTCCTTTTCTTCTCGGCCTTCCTTCAAGTCAATTTTTCGAGCCGCTTCTCGGTTCGTCGTGACATTCGTAACCCACATTTCGCCATTATTACCGCGCCGGCATCGTGTAATTTTACGCGGTCTTAAATATCTGAGAAACGTGTCTCCAAGTACTTAAATGACAGAAGTTTTAAATAAAATATTCAAAAATTTAAAGAAACACTGAAAATTTCAATCTGGAGTCTGTTTCGTTAAAAAATATTATATGTAGTAAATACAAGGATATGCAATAAGTTTGAAATTGACTAACATTAGTCAAAGTAATTCAATAAAATGTAAACGGTGTTTAAAATTATTAGCAAAGTCAGATAAAATTATCAGAGTGACGAAATCGAATGTTTAAAAACTATTTTGAAATACTCAGATATATTACAATATAAAATAACGATCCTTGTATATATAATAAGCAAAAACAGATAATATAGTATGTAAATTATATTAATGCTAATTAAAACGAAAGAATTACATTATCTTTATTTTTGGTAACCTGTTGTCAACCGGAATAACGCTGTGTTAATTGAAATTTATTATGTGACGTTGTTATATGCATGACTTAAGAAATGGCCATCAAATTTGAATAAAAATGAGCAAACAAGTCGATTGCATCTTCAAGGACCTACGCCCTTTACGTTTTATTGCTTACATATCCTTGTTCACGCATATGTTCAACCAATTAATTTCGCCTACTATTCGCGAGGAATTAAACACGCTAATGTCAAAGGTCAGTAATGCCATTGGCGATTTTACAGACGATCTCTGGCTTTTTTATCTGCCGTGTCTTGCTACGTTGTAATTTAACAAATGACCATTTTCGTAGCCGCTTTCCTAGTCTCTCTCATCCGTGAGCGGAAAGTAGAATAATTCAGTGAAGCGTTAAAGAACTATATTCATCTCTTTGCATATATCTCGAAATACAATTATGATTTTATAATGAACTGCACTGATCATAAGAATAATTTAAACATTCGCAGCCAACCGAGTACTAATTTACTCTTATTAAAAATTATGCTTTAAATTATTTATTACAACTTCTGACGGCGCATTAAATAGAAGAGAAAAGACAAACACGACGATTACTATTTTACCGAAAAGAGCGGTGTAGATTTTAATTGGAATATCCAAGATTCTCTCTGCAGAGTCGCGTCAGCCACCCGAGCGCTCAATTCGAGACTCGACTGTGGAAAGGCGATTGTGTTGTATGTATCGAGGAAGGACTGTCTATCAGGGTTTACGACATAGGACAAAGTCGTGATTCCCGTTGTCAGTATAAATTTAACGAAGACCTCGTAATGGAAGATAAGAATTATATACAAGTCGCATTGCCCGCGGCGCTTGGATCGAACCGACCGTTTCGCAAGATGAGCGCTCTGATTAATTCTCTTATATACATATATAATAGCTCTGTGCGTGTTAATATTACATAAAGGTTTAATAAAATTCATTTTTGAATTTAAAAATTGGAAGCATTGCAAAATAATATAAAGCAAAGAAGAATAAAAGCCGTCAATAATATTAAAAAATGTCTTACGTAATATACGTTTCTGCAATTTCCATTTTTATTTCGTATTTTTATACGAATTATTTATTTTGATCAGAAATGTCAGTCTTTGTATTTTTCTCGGGATATTTCAATTTGACCGTGCTATCGCGTCTGTTTGCATTATGCATTTCTAGGACTGATAAATTGCAGTTTCAATATCGGCAGTGGAATGTGGCGTTAAATATGAATGACTATCGATGTCGGTGTTAGTTTCAAGAAAATCAATGACGAGAAAGTGATTCCTGCCTGTTTGTGAATATATTAAGAGCTCTATTAAATAGCTATAAAATATACCGAGACATCGTGTTACATCTGATTAATGATAGGCATTTAACTTTAAAGACTCTCTCTCATAAATATAATATCTACAATCCGCCCTAAAGTAATATATTTATAAATAAATCGAAGAACACTTCTATCGCGATGTTGCTGCCGTCGTACTTAGAAAGTAATTTACGCTTCCATTGATCGAAGTCACTTCACGTGACTTCAATCGAGGTGTGTATTAAATGGAGAGATGAGTTAACCGTGGTGCCACGTGCAACATGACATAAGTTACGACCGCATCGAGCGGAAATCGACATGTAAATATTGTAAAACATTACATACACGATTGCATTACTGTCATCACATAGTTATTCTCGTCCAGATCGAATAATCAATATTGGAACTTGCGATACAGGCAGCGCGATGTATCACATCGATTGCTAAGCTAGTTTGTGTGTGTACGTGTGTCATCGATATAATAAAATACTAATCGATATAAATTTTTATTTTAATTAAAAATATTTTATTTTTATTTTATCGAATAAATAATAAAATAAGAGCTTGCAAAAGACATTTAGTTTTTTATATTACAAAAAATACAATATTGAAATAAATGCAATAATAGAAATTATGTTCGTCAAGATTAGAAGAGATATAAATGTATCTTTCATAATATAAGAAATATATTTTACAATAGACTTTTTCTTTGCTAGAAATTATAGATTGAGATTTATACAAGTATTACGTGTTATTGTGTATGCATGTTATTATTGTGCGAATGCTATTGTGTATGCATATTATTAAAAGAATGGTAAGACTGACCGTTTGCGATTATATCATCATTAAATGTGGCGGACTTCTTTCCACGCGAGACACACGCTTGCATGCAACGACGACGGTGCATCCGCGTGCATCGAGTGAAAAAAAAAAACGTTTGCCTTCTGTCGGGTAATCGCAATTTACGGTCGTTATATCACCGTCCATTAAATATTTATGCTCCTCGCGCGTCTCACGCGTTTGTGTCAAGGAACTCGCGACGATAATCGCTTCAATCGTGCGAGCTGTTGTTCATGGAGAATCATAGCGCAGTACGTTCTAACGCTGAGATATTCGAACACTATATGTACATACATCCATCAGCCTGGTAATAAATTAACGGAATAAAAACTATTCTCCTGTAAAAGAATTTGCAAGTGAATTTCATTAACTTTTTATAGATAGTTGTTTTTATATTTAGAATAATATTAATTCAATCAATTCAATTTAGATTTTTCTCATAGAAAAACTATATAAAGATTTAAACTTTATAATATACAAGCTTTTAGATTTTTTTTCAATTTAAATAAAAAGCAAACGCGATGCTTTTATAGAATTTTCACTTGATATAATACTGGCACTTTCCATTTTCTATAGATGTCAATCAAAAAGTCCCGCACTTAAATGTGACAAAATATAACTGTAATTTCTTGAGAATATTCAGTCACGAACCATCGATCATGTTATCGATCTGAATTGTCAAAGCTATTCATTGAGCAGCGGCTGCGGTTTAATTAGTTGTAATAGCGAACTGTGTCATTTTCTACGGCAGGATGTATTTTTCTCGGCTATACACTTCGTTTATTTGGGACGGAGAGAAAGTGGATTTCGTTAGCGACGCGACAGTGTGCCTTTGATGTATTTCGACAGCGCGATTCACTTCCGGTATTATCATCGAAAACATGGAACGAATCTTGAGGAACAGATCAGCTATTCGAAGGAAAGTATCGTTTAACTG